AGGGTGCAATTATTAATATGATCATAGATACATACAAATGCAGATCACTATAGGGTGCAATTATTAATATGATTATTGATACATGGAAATGCAGAAAACTATAGGGTGCAATTATTAATAGGTCTATAGATACATACAAATGCAGGTCACTATAGGGTGCAATTATTAATAGGATATAGACACATGCTAAAGCAGATCAATGTAGGTTCCAATTGCAATTATTAATAAGATCATAGATACATACAAATGCAGATCACTATAGGGTGCAATTATTAATATGAATATTGATACATACAAATGCAGATCACTGTAGGGTGCAATTAATAATGTGATCATAGATACATACAAATGCAGATCACTGTAGGGTGCAATTACATGTGCTTTAATTGAGACTGTTTGCCTTTTTTACTCATTGGAATTCTGTTACTTACTAAGAATATTATTGTCAGGACAGTGTACATGTATGGTAAATAGAATTTGTTTGTGATTTCTAATAAGAGACATTTTCCTCCTATCATTCCCCTTAATTAAATATATATAAACTGCTCACATGTCTTATATCATATATACTATATCATTTATTATATGATGCTCTATTAATTACTCTCTAGGTAGGTGCAATTTATTTTATACTAGGTTCACTTTAGGGCAAGGATACTTATTAAAAAATGGCTGAAATAAAGATCATAATTGTACCCTTCAGTTAATGCTTTGTACATTTAGCATTTTATACCAAAAATAATTAGGAACAAGTATAAGTATTTGTAGTGTATTCCCTAAAATGGAATTTTTAGAAAAAAAAAAATACTGTTAAAACCCAATATGGGATATTTCAGGTAACCTGGTCCCTATCAGGGGGTACTTTCATATTTTCTTACAGATATATATTATATACAGCCTCTATATATTATTAAACAGTAAAGGAGTCATTTTTTTTTTATCTAGGCCAGGATCACATTTTATACAGGAGAAATATAAATTCATTTTCTGTTTTCAGTCTGAATTTATTAAAGATTTTCATATAAACAAGGTAAAATAAATTCCTATTCTGCATTCTGGTTGGGGGAAATGGCTTTATTAGTCAATCATCCCTTTGTGATTTATTGCCCTCAGCAGAGACAAGATATATTATGCTGTGTGGTCTTATGAATGTAAAATTCTCTATATGATCAGTGTGTGTTACCGACAACCCTTTTATTTCACAGGCAGAATTCTGTTACTTTATATGACAGTTTGATATATGAATTGTAGTTTTTTTGTCGCTGCTTCAGCCAACATATGTTAGTTTTAAATAATTTCCCATAAACTGGCTGATTGTTTGAAACCAACCTGGGCAGAAAAAAAAAGAGGACCATATGATAATAGTAACAGCAGCAGTTATTATTAAAATAATAATATAAAGACACGGGGAGATTTACTAAAACTGGAGCACTCAGAATCTGGGGCAGCTGTGCATGGCAACCAATCGGCTTCTTACTTCAGCTTGTTCAATTAAGTTTTGGCAATAAAACCAGGAAGCTGATTGGTTTCTATGCAGAGCTGCTCCAGATTTTGCACTCTCCGATTTTAGTAAATAACCCCAGCTGTGTAGCAATCAGATTGTCAGATCAAAAGTCTGCAATCTGGAAAAATAAATGGAAGGCTAAAATCGGCTGATGATTTTACTGTGGAAGTTGATGATGTAATTAAAGATAAGACAAGGATAATGTCATATATTAGGATTGGAATAAACATTTTGGGATCTCCACATTCCTGTATGTGAGACATCATTTTTGGAAACCGTAACTATTGAATATATAATCCATAAAAGTACTGATCTGTTATTTCTTTGGAAGAAGCTTCTCCAGGAACATTATTATGTCATGTCCCTGGGTGGCTGGAGAAGGCCAACAAGTTATTTCACTGAAAACACATGTTTATGGAAAGTGAGCAAAAAAAAAAAACGAGGATACAAGAATACATTGCATTCATTAATAGTATAGCAATAATGTGAATATATTAACACATTCTATACTAAAATAACTTGCAGCAAGACACAAAACACACTCACACATTCCGCTGATGAAGATTATTACTATTATTATTGTTGTTGTTGCTATTATATTATTATTATTATTATTATTATTATTTTGTTGTTGCTGTTATATTATTATTATTTATTTTTGTTGTTGTTGCTGTTATATTATTATTTATTTATTATTGTTGTTGTTGTTACTTTCTCCTTTACTAAAGAATTTGGGAATCTTTGCACAAAAGAAATTGTGTGAATTTTCACTTTAAGATGAAATGAACTGATAGTGGAAGTGACTGTTCAGAGATTCTCAATTCCTTTAGTAAAATCATCCTGAAAACCTTGAAACCCCCCCCCCACACACACACACACACACACACACACACACACACACACACACACACACACACACACACACACACACACACACACACACAGACTGGGGGATGACATGCAATGTAATGTGTTGCTGTGGAGTGATGACATGGCCTTGCTCTGTACATTGTAGGTATGCCTTCCACAGCTCCTCTTGGTTGGTAGCAGGCAAAGCTGACCCGGCCACCCCCGGGAGGGTACACTATCACCCGGACTCCCCAGCCAAAGGCGCCCAGTGGATGAAGCAAATCGTGTCCTTTGACAAACTGAAACTGACAAATAATTTGCTGGACACGACAATGGCCATGTGAGTGTGACTTGGGGAATTGGGGGAACAAGGCTGAGACTCTCATCTCTCTATTAATCTGATATATTCATCTGGGCACCCGACACCACTGGAGCTGGGGGCTGATAACTGAAAACATATGTAGGGTTACAATTGCTGGAGCTTTGTACATTTTCATATATATATATATATATATGTGTGTGTGTGTGTGTATATATAAACACACACAGACACACACATTATTATATATATATATATATATATATATATATATATATGTATATATATATATATATATATATATATATATATATATATATATATATATTCTGTTGGCTTGAGGTTAATAAACGACCAGCCCAGACTTAGCATTAGGATCCTAAATCTGATAGGCTGATATATGAAAGGAGTTGGGAATCTTCAATCAAAAAAAAAAATGAAGGAAAGAAATGTAAAATTAATTAATTAATTAATTAATTAATTAATAAAAAAAAAAAAAAAAAAAAAAAAAAAAAAATATATATATATATATATATATATATATATATATATATATATTATAATCATGTAGCACGCATCTGCACATGATTGGACCTTCAACCGGAATTTGCTTTTCACCTATTTGGATAGTTGAAGTGAATGACAATATCATTTTTAGAGTGAAGAGTCTTAACGCCTTTAGTAAATCAGCATTATTTTGTCATAGAGATGGTTAGTTGAATACAGAGGTGATTTCTAAATAAAGAATTTCAGTAAATAAAGAAACAAAAAAGATATGGGCAGCACACTTCTCAGAATCAGGCAGTTCCCATTGCAGGGATCCCTCAAAAAAATATTCTATGATTTGGAAACAAAAAGGTCCATGTTGTAAGATCGTTTGGTTAACACGGGCAGCAGTTTCTGGTTGTGCACTGCACTTCCAGCCAACAAATCACACATCCGAATAGCAATTTAGCAATGACAGTTTAAATGACACGACAATCAAGGAAACAATGCTGTTACTAAGAGAAAATAGAAGTCAGATCAAAACATGTGTAGCAAGTGTAATAAATGAGTTATTAGAAGACAGTGCAAATACTGTGTGTACACATAAATAAGCAATCGGTATACAGCACCTGCTTATTGCTACCACTACTACTGATTATGATTATTTTATTGTTGTTATTATTATTACTATTACTAATATTAATACTACTACTAATAACAACATTATTATTATTATTATTATTCCATTAACGAAAATGAAGTTTCCTTATTCTTCCTATTATTATTATTATAGTAGCATTGTTTTGCTGTTACTGTTATGATGATGAGTGTTGTTGTTATTATTATTATTATTGTTATTATTATTGATGGTAATAATATTAATAACAACAAAAATAATAATAATATGGATTTCAGTTAGTAGCATTTTCTTTTTCTTCTTTATTATTATTATTTATATGGATTACTATTATATTGTAGATAGTTTGTTTTCCTGAATAGAATGATGTATTACACTTGCTTCCAATGTTTCCATTTGTCTTTTCTCTTTGGTAACAAATAATCATAGAGGTTTATATACTAAAACTGGAGAGTGCAGAATCTGGTGCAGCTGTGCATGGTAGCCAATCAGCTTCAGACTTCAACTTTGTTTTGACACAAAAAATAACCTGTAAGGTGATTGGCTACTATGCAGAGCTGCATCAGATTTTGCACTCTCCAGTTAGTAAATCCGACTCTCCAGTTAAGTAAAACTTAGTAAACCATCTTCATATTATTTCAACTTGAACATTCTCATTTTTGTTTGCATACTAAATAAGTGCCACAACCAGTAAATGTGTGGATTATGTGCATATGTACGTGATCATTAAATATTATGTCTTGATAAGGAAACGTAAAGATGGGCAGAAGGATACAAAGGTGACCAGGGCAGAGTCTAGAGTAGGGTACGGCAGTGAGGCAGTTGTCCAGGGCGCACAGAAGATGGGTGCAAAGTAAATATTTGGAACAAAAGTGAAGAGAATGCTTTTGAGTTCTAGTCGATAAGCAGCCAAGTAAATCAGATGTTACAATTATTGCATCTTGCCACAATCACTGTCGTTTTGGGAAATCCAGCCTAGAAGAATGCTTCGTTCCCCTTGTGTGTAGTCCTGGAGATTGAGGGCTAATGATAGCCGTGTATTCCTGCAGATCATTCTGAACTCCATGCACAGATACCAGCCCCGATTTCATGTGGTGTATGTGGACCCCAGGAAGGACAGCGAGAAATATGCAGAAGAGAACTTTAAGACGTTTGTGTTTGAGGAAACCCGATTCACCGCAGTGACTGCCTATCAGAACCACAGAGTGAGTATTTCTGGAGTTTATTACCGCTTCCAATGCATCATTTATCAGAGCCTTCCCAATGATGGATGATGGCCTGGAAAAGGAGAGGGAGGGGGATCCCTCCTAACTATAATGCCGAGCAGCCACTAGCAGCAGTACACAGCTCGGAGGCTGGAAGAAAGGAGAGCCAGGCGTTTACAAATAAATAGACTTTTCCTTTTACTGTTCTCATTTTCCAGCGATCAATAAGGACATTGAAATGTGTCAAATTCACTTAGGAAAACGTTTCTTTGGAGAAAGCAAGGGGAAGTCTGGGCTTTTCTCAGATTGATGAAAAAGGCAGAAAAAAGTCAGTACAGAAGGCAGGAACATGTCTATGTATTCTCAGGTATAGAAGGCAGGACAATGTCTATGTTTTCTCAGGTATAGAAGGCAGGAACATGTCTATGTATTCTCAGGTACAGAAGGCAGGACAATGTCTATGTTTTCTCAGGTACAGAAGGCAGGACAATGTCTATGTTTTCTCAGGTATAGAAGGCAGGAACATGTCTATGTATTCTCAGGTACAGAAGGCAGGACAATGTCTATGTTTTTCAAGACAATCTAGGTATAGAAGGCAGGAACATGTCTATGTATTCTCAGGGACAGAAGGCAGGAACATGTCTATGTTTTCTCAGGTACAGAAGGCAGGACAATGTCTATGTTTTTCTCAGGTACAAAAGGCAGGAACATGTCTATGTTTTTCTCAGGTACAGAAGGCAGGACAATGTCTATGTGTTTCTCAGGTATAGAAGGCAGGACAATGTCTATGTGTTCTCAGGTATAGAAGGCAGGACAATGTCTATGTATTCTCAGGTATAGAAGGCAGGACAATGTCTATGTATTCTCAGGTATAGAAGGCAGGACAATGTCTATGTATTCTCAGGTATAGAAGGCAGGACAATGTCTATGTATTCTCAGGTATAGAAGGCAGGAACATGTCTATGTTTTCTCAGGTACAGAAGGCAGGACAATGTCTATGTGTTTCTCAGGTATAGAAGGCAGGACAATGTCTATGTTTTTCTCAGGTATAGAAGGCAGGACAATGTCTATGTTTTCTCAGGTATAGAAGGCAGGACAATGTCTATGTATTCTCAGGTATATAAGGCAGGACAATGTCTATGTGTTTCTCAGGTACAGAAGGCAGGAACATGTCTATGTTTTCTCAGGTACAGAAGGCAGGACAATGTCTATGTTTTCTCAGGTATAGAAGGCAGGACAATGTCTATATTTTCTCAGCTACAGAAGGCAGGACAATGTCTATGTATTCTCAGGTATAGAAGGCAGGACAATGTCTATGTGTTTCTCAGGTATAGAAGGCAGGACAATGTCTATATTTTCTCAGGTACAGAAGGCAGGACAATGTCTATGTATTCTCAGGTATAGAAGGTAGGACAATGTCTATGTGTTTCTCAGGTATAGAAGGCAGGAACATGTCTATGTTTTCTCAGGTACAGAAGGCAGGAACATGTCTATGTTTTTTCTCAGGTAGCAACATGTAGAAGGCAGCAACATGTCTATGTGTTTCTCAGGTACAGAAGGCAGGACAATGTCTATGTTTTCTCAGGTATAGAAGGTAGGACAATGTATATGTGTTTCTCAGATATAGAAGGCAGGACAATGTCTATGTGTTTCTCAGGTACAGAAGGCAGGACAATGTCTATGTTTTCTCATGTATAGAAGGCAGGACAATGTCTATGTGTTTCTCAGGTACAGAAGGCAGGACAATGTCTATGTTTTCTCAGGTATAGAAGGCAGGAACATGTCTATGTGTTTCTCAGGTACAGAAGGCAGGACAATGTCTATGTTTTCTCAGGTATAGAAGGCAGGACAATGTCTATGTATTTCTCAGGTATAGAACGCAGGAACATGTCTATGTGTTTCTCAGGTACAGAAGGCAGGACAATGTCTATGTTTTCTCAGGTATAGAAGGCAGGACAATGTCTATGTATTTCTCAGGTATAGAAGGCAGGACAATGTCTATGTTTTTCTCAGGTACAGAAGGCAGGACAATATCAATGTTTTTTTCAGGTACAGAAGGCAGGAACATGTCTAAGTTCTTCTCAGGTAAAGAAGGCAGGACAATGTCTATGTTTTCTCAGGTACAGAAGGCAGGACAATGTTTATGTTTTTCTCAGTATAGAAGGCAGGACAATGTCTATGTGTTTCTCAGGTACAGAAGGGAGGATAATGTCTATGTGTTTCTCAGGTACAGAAGGCAGGACAATGTCTATGTTTTCTAAGGTATAGAAGGCAGGAACATGTCTATGTGTTTTTCAGGTATAGAAGGCAGGACAATGTCTATGTTTTCTCAGGTATAGAAGGCAGGACAATGTCTATGTTTTTCTCAGGTACAGAAGGCAGACAATGTCTATGTTTTCTCAGGTACAGAAGGCAGGACAATGTCTATGTTTTCTCAGGTATATAAGGCAGGACAATGTCTATCTGTTCTCAGGTATAGAAGGCAGGACAATGTCTATGTTTTCTCAGGTATAGAAGGCAGGACAATGTTTATGTTTCTCAGGTATAGAAGACGGGCAATGTCTATGCGTTTCTCAGGTATAGAAGGCAGGACAATGTCTATGTTTTTCTCAGGTACAGAAGGCATTAACATGTCTAAGTTCTTCTCAGGTACAGAAAGCATGACAATGTCTGTTTTTCTCGGGTACAGAAGGCAGGAAAATGTCTATGTTTTTCTTAGATATAGAAGGGAGGACAATGTCTATGTTTTTCTCAGGTATAGAAGGCAGGACAATGTCTATGTGTTTCTCAGGTATAGAAGGCAGGACAATGTCTATGTTTTTCCCAGGTATAGAAGGCAGGACAATGTCTATGTTTTCTCAGGTACAGAAGGCAGGACAATGTCTATGTGTTCTCAAGTATAGAAGGCAGGACAATGTCTATGTTTTTTCTCAGGTATAGAAGGCAGGACAATGTCTATGGTTTTTCTCAGGTATAGAAGGCAGGACAATGTTTATGTTTTTCCCAGGTATAGAAGGCAGGACAATGTCTATGTTTTTTCTCAAGTACAGAAGGCAGGAAAGTGTCTAGGTTTTTGTCAGATATAGAAGGCAAGACAATGTCTATGTTTTCTCAGGTACAGAAAGCAGTAAAATGTCTCTGTTTTTCTCAGGTATACAAGGCAGGAATATGTCTATGTTTTTCTCAGGTGCAGAAGAATGGGATAATACTGGCTACACACTAGTAGATTTTCAGATGAAAATAATGATACGTACATTTGTACAAACATTCTTTGTTCATTCGATGAATGGACAAATATCTTTCTAAAATGTTACTTGCTTTTAACATTTGATTTTAAAATTAATGTAATTCTCAAACTAAAACCACATGCACTGTCTGAAAATGTGTTAATTCAAGAAAAATTTTTTCTTACAGCTTCTTTGAATTTTCTCCTCACTGGTCAAAAATGAATGCCGATTTGACCCCAAAAAAGATTAGAAAATCAAACAAACCTTCTTAAAACAAAAAATTTTGAATGAAAATCTACACATGTATGGCCAGCATAAATCTGTTCTTCTCAGTTAGCCGATGAAGGTAGGGAGCAGTTTGTGGTTTTTCTCAGATAGGTGAGGAAGGCAGAGAGAAGTCTGCATTTTTTTCTCTGTTTGGCCTCATGCACATGAGTGTAAAAAAACCCTGCTTTCACAGTGTTTGGCATTTCTTTTTACACCTCTGAACACAGCTGCATGTTAGCTAATGTGCCTATGGACATGCAGGTGTTCATGTAGGTATGTGCGTATAGTGTTCAGGGGTGTAAAAACAAAGTCCCAAACTTGCTTTCGCAGAGAAGCACTTTTTATGCCTAAGCATGCGTAAACACCTATAAATGTGCACAAATGCATGTAAACAAGCATTAACTCATTCTATTGGCTAGAAAAAAAACTGAATATTCTAGGCAATAAAAATTAGTTTCTCTGCATACGCCTCTAAACGCTATGCACATATAAACACACATAAATGCAAATAAATAAGCACCAAAACAGCTTTTTGTAAGCTGGATTTTTCTGCCAGTTCCAGATCCAGTGTTTCGAGGAGTTTTTCAATAAGCCTGTGTGCATGAGGCCTTAGGTATAGAAGGCTGGGAGAGGTCTGTGTTTTTTTTTACTGTTGAATGAAGACGGCAGGGAGAATTCTGGGATTTTCTCAGATAGGATGAAGCCTGTGTATTTTCACAGTTCTATGTAGAAGGCTGAGAGATGGTTGTGTTTTTCTCAGCTAGGTAAACTTTAGTTTAGTTTTATATTTGTATATGCAAAAATGGAGTTTTGCACTGTTGTATTGTGGAATGGCTAAATCCAAATTGATGGGAAGGATTGTATGGTAATACATTATAACAAATGCCCTCTACTGCAGTTTTAATTAGTTTTAAACTTTCTCATCTATACTTTATTGCTATATTTAGCCCCATTTGTAAATTCCTTGCAAGCCACTGATGAAAAATATGAGAAAAAGAAAATAAAAAAACAAAAAGAGATTAGAGAGGTTCTTATGTAAATCAACTTGTATATGAGGGATTTGAGCACTCCTCCTCTCTGTCCTAGTAGCAGTAGTATAGATGCAGCAATCTATGCTGTTAACAGGGTGCCTAGAGATGCTGATTGTCCATCTGCTAAATCACTTGGCCATGTAGAGCAGGAAGTGGGGAGCAGAGGGCTCTGTCACTGATGGACATCAGGAGCCAAAAACTGCAGAAATTCAGTTACTAGGAAATAAAAACAACTCTGAAGCCCAGAGGGATACCATTACCTATGTAAACCCTAGACCCACTCTACTTTGACTTCTATGGCTTCCCCACTGCGAAATGTCAATCAAATTGTGTTTGGACAAATCTGCTTTTCTGTTTACCTAGATGTGCCAATCCCCATGTACAAACCTAGCACAAAGGAAGTGCCCATCACTGGTCAATTTCCACTAATATAATCAGGTAAACAACTGCAAATAAAGCAGCAGGAGCCTGTCTT